GAGAGAGAGAGAGAGAGAGAGAGAGAGAGAGAGAGAGAGAGGGAAAGAAGAGGAGGATGAGGAGAGTCGAACAAGTCCTCCTCGGGGCATGGGCCTCCCACGACATTTACTCGACGTAGAAATTATGAAGTCGTCCAGTTGGGGAACCAGTTGGCTATATTTCGCGGGAGTACGTCGACGGCGGCGCGCATCGTGTAATGGGAAAATATTGAATAGTCTTGCGACACGGCACAGCGGCGCGGCGCATTGACCGTAGGGCCGAAGTTCGAGGGATTGCTCGTACATTTTATCCGCGGAGATCCGCGAAAGAGATTTCAGCGCTCGAACTCGAGCTATAGACCTCGCATTTATGAGAATTTTACTTCCTATAAAATCAATTTATCTCTTCCGATCGCATATTATGACAGAAAGCTATTAATCATTGTATTTAAGAATTATATCAATTTATTATTTTATTTTTAAATAATAAACGAAGTATACTTACTCTCTTATGTTGTAATTTTTATATTTTAATTAAATGTTAAATATAAAATGAATTGTCGTTTAATAGATTATTGATGATGAAAGCTATACGATAAATCGATGCAATCGTTTGTTTAATAAAAATATTTTTATAAATTTGTTGGGAAAAAAAGAAAGATAGGATATAAAAGTAATAGTTTATTTAATCTTCTTATATGTTTATTTATATAAATTACGGGCAATAATTAATACATCTATTATGCACAACATTGGAATTAGCTTATTTGTTAAAATTTTCTCATTCGAAGAGTAATCTTTCTATCAAGCATTGACAAAAGGTTTTCTAAATCCGTGGGATTCTCGATATCCCAGCGCTCGATAAAGAAAGAAGAGAAAAAAGAGCGGAATATGAAAAAGTGTTATAAAAATAATTTACCACTCCCCTGTGGGGTTTCACCTTCATCGCGTGTGTGTAAATCTGCTTGTATTTACAATAGTTTCTTACGAAGGAATATATTGGCCATCGATTGGCTCGTATTGCTGTAAAATATATCGCTATAATTTATTTATATACAAGTTTGCGATCTGTATACGAGATTGCTTGTTTCTCCGAGGGAGCGAGTGTCTAAAATGCAAAAAGAACACTATTAAAATAAATAATGCTTTCACGAGACCACGATGCTCGCGTTATAGCCAATAAACATCACTTAAAACAAACCTCATATGCAGTAGAATAAAATAATTGAAGGCTTCTTCGTGTGTCAGCTTACTTATCGTGATCAATAAGCCTCTATAGCGGAGAAGCAAGCTCTAATCCAATGTGATTAATAGATGGAGAGATGTAATGAATTGAATTAGAATGTTATCAGCGGAGATAACAATTTTATCGAATGTCTCCGATGGGTAACGGTCGGATGAGACGTGCGAATAGTAGCAGCCTTAAATTATTTTTTTCTACCGTATAACATTCATACCGTATAACATGTCACAGCTGAGATGTCAGAATCTTTTATTTATGGGGGCAGTGACGGATCAGTCTGATCCTCCATCATAGCGAATTAGTAAACCGGCGTAACGCAAGTGTTTACGCTGGTATTTACATCGCGCTTCTACCGCATCCCACACAATCTTCCTATCTTAAAGCCTTAAAAATCTACGATCGCACGAACGCTTCTCACCATCTCAGTCTTTAATACGCGCGCAGCGTAATAAATATATGTGATTCCGTTCGCTTCGCGTAATACTGAAGACGAGGAGGTCCCGCGGGAGACTCCACGACGACTTCGATCCCATCCGGCAAGACTCATGACAGGATCTCTCGAAACAGACCGTCGCGACAGTCTACGGGAGACTATCAGACTCTCCTTTAATCAAATTAAAAGAAGTAGTCTCATCCTTTGAATTCATCAACGTATACCGTTATACAAGGAAGTACCGCGAAAACGGGAAAAGTTCGAACTTTGATCGTTTAACCCTGTACGAAAGTTATATCGAAGATGATCAAGATTACGAGATATCTTACGATCGAATTTCTTTTCACAGACATGTGTGTATCGTCTTTTTCGTCCTGCACAGCTGACACTTGACTTCGCAGCACCAGTGGAAAGTGCAGGAGCACCTCTCGATTACCGTCACCTCCTGAGTCTTGTGACCCCTACCGCAGCACATCAGGTCGCAGCCATCAACGCCGATGCTCGTATCGTTGCACTGCCTCCCATGAGTGCCCAAGATGCCGAGTTTGGGATTCTTCTCGCAGAATGGCGGCGACGGCTCCACGTAGACCAGATCCTTCTGCCCGGGCGGCTTATGCTCCGGATTGTATGGCTTCAGTTGGAAATTGTAACGCTGCCGACGTTTGAGACCATCGCGATGCTGATGCACGGAGTTGCTCGCCGAGTTGCTGGTAATGGCATTATTGGTAACGCGCGCTCGATCTGAGTTACTGACCATTACCCGCGAAGCCCCGTCGAAACGATCCTTCAAGTTATCGCCGACCACACGGAAATTCGGCAGTCGCATCCAGCAGGTCTTTACCGTGCACGACCCGGACATACCGTGACATTTGCATTCCTGACGCATCTCCGAAGTCACGTGCTGTAATGAGAGAGGCGAAGTCCTGTAATGTTTCTTTGCAATTAAAATTAATATTCATGGTGATCTTAACTTTCTCGTCTCGCGATAAATGGCTTATTGCAGATTAATTATTTCGTTTCAACACAAATATGCCAACACACAAAATAGCAGGCCGTGAATGAATTTCGAATATTCAGATTAAATATGAATATTTCGTTTTTATCTGAATTTAAATCACAAATGAAATATTATTTAGAAGAGTATATATA